AAAAAAAAATAACAATCTAATTAAAAATGGGCAAAATATCTGAATAGACATTTCTCAAAAGAAGACATACAAATGGCAAACAAGCATATGAAAAGGTGCTCAACATCATTGATCATCAGAGAAATGCAAATCAAAACTACAATAAGATACAATCTCAGGCCAGTTAAAATGACTTATATACCACCACACTTGGCTAATTTTTGTATTTTCAATAGAAACAGGGTTTAGGCTGAGGCACGGGAATCACTTGAGCTTGGGAGGTGGAGGTTGTAGTGAGCTGAGATCACACCGCTATACTCCAGTAGGGCAACACAGTGAGACTCTGTCTCAAAAAAATAAATAAATAAATAAAACAAACAAAAAAAGGCTTATATGCAAAAGATCAGCGATACGATGCTGGCGAGGGTGTGGAGAAAAGGGAACCCCCAACACTGTTGGTGGGAATGTAAATTAGTATGACCACTATGGAGAACAGTTTGGAGGTTCCTCAGAAAACTAAAAATAGAGCCACCATAGGATCTAGCAATCCCACTGCTGAGTATATACCTGAAAGAAAGGAAATCAGTGCATAGAAAATATATGTGCACTCTCATGTTTGTTGCAGCACTATTCACAATAGCCAAGATATTGAAGCAGTATAAATGTCCATAAAGAAATGAATAGACAAAGAAAATGAGGTACTTATACACAATGGGGTACTATTCAGCCATAAAAAAGAATGAGATCCTATCATTTGCAGCAACATGAATAGAACTGGAGGTCATTATGTTAAGTAAAATAAGCCAGGCACAGAAAGACAAATTGTGTATGTTCTGACTTATTTGTGGGAGCTAAACATTGAAATAATTGGACTCACGGAGAGAGGAAGTAGAGGATGGTTAAAGAAGCTGGGAAGGATAGTGGGGGAGTGTAGGAGAGGTGGGGATGGTTAATGGGTACAAAAGATATAAAAAGAATGAATAAGACCTAGTATTCACTAGCACAACAGAATGACTGTAGTCAAAAATAATTTGTGTATATTTTTAAATAACTAAATGAGTATAGTTGGATTGTATATAAAAGATAAATGTTGGAGGTGATGGACATCCCATTTACCCTGATGTGATTATTATGCATTGCATGCCTATATCAAAATGTCTCATAGTAATCTATAAATACATACACATGCTATTGTACCCACAAAAATTAAAAATAAATATTTTTTAAAAAATTTAAAAATAGGGTAAATTGAGCACTCTTGTGTGGGATTTTGATAGTGGAAGAGGTTGTGCTTATTCTGGATCAAGAGAATACAGGACATGTTTGTACTCTCCACTCAATTTTGCTGTGACCATAAAACTGCTCTAAAAATGAAGTCTGTGTTTTTAACAGCATATGATACAGAGTTTCACACACTGAATTTGCCTAGTGAATTATTATCTAGCTCCAAAATAATTGTATTTTCTACTATATAACACATTACATCATCTGTGTAGCTATCTCTCTCACAAAGTAGAAAGTCTGTGAAATAGAACATAAGGAAGGAGAAAGAACTGTGATCCAAGCAAGAATCATGGGTCCACAATTCCACCCAAGGAAGCTAGTTCAAAGCAAGAGGAAGAGCACAGCTTTTCACACAATTGAATAGATCTCAACTTCCTGATTGTGGTATTGAAGATGCCGACAGTAGCCCGCTGCTCTGTGAAGGCAGTTTTCCGACCTACCATTCTTGGCTACTCCTGGGATGTTTTACTTGGCTGTGAGATCCCCCTGAGAAGCTTCTCTTTTTCTCACACAATTCCTCCATCAGCAACGTGTGGTGGGCGGCACACGGTGACTATGATTCCTGGAGATGGCATTGGGGCTGAACTTATGCTGCATGTCAAGACTATGTTCAGACATGTGTGTGTGCCTGTGGCCTTTGAGGAAGTGTCAGTGACCTCCACCTCTGCCTCACATGAAGAGGAAATTCACAGTGCCATCATGGCAGTTCATTGAAACCCTGTGTCTTTGAAGGGTAGCATTTAAACTGATGTCACCCTGCCACCATCATACAAATCCTTCAACAACATGTTTCACACCACCTTAGATCTCCGTGCCAATGTCATTCATTTTAAAAATTTGCCAAACGTGGAGACCTGGCACAAGGACATAGCCATCCTAGTTGTTCGGGAGAACATAGAGGGTGACTATAGCAATCTGGAGCATGAGAGTGTGAAAGGAGTAAGAGAGAGCCTAAAGATCATGACTAAGGTCAAGTCTTTGCGCACTGCTGAATATGCCTTCCAGCTGGCCCAGTAGATGGCATGCAAAAAAGTGACGGCTGTGCACAAGGTCAGCATCATGAAACTGAGAGATGGTCTCTTCCTCCAGTGCTGTGGGGAGGTGGCATCCCGCTATCCTCAGCTCACCTTAGAAGATATGATTGTGGACAATGCCACAATGCAGCTAGTATCCCAGCCCCAACAGTTTGATGTCATGGTAATGCCCAATATTTATGGCAATGTTACCAACGCTCTCTGCACAGGGTTGATTGGTGGGGTAGGCGTTGTGCCTGGAGCCAACTATAGCCACATATATGCAGTGTTTGAGACAGCTTCAAGGCAATGTGACAATTTAGTGAATACAAATCTGGCAAACCCTACTGCCATGCTGCTGGCAAGTTGCATCATGCTGAATTACCTCAAACTCCACTCCTATGCCACCCACATTCATACTGGAGTCTTGGCATCCTTGGACAACAAAAGTATCCACACCCCAGATCTTGGAGGCTTGGGTACCACATTGGACATCATTCAAAATGTCATAGATCACATTTGAAATGTCAATTAATTGGTCTGTGCCTTGGAGGCTAAGCTATCCCCCAAAGTCTGTCCTGTCCTACTTGTTACCTCCACTCTTCCTGCTTTAAAAACCATAGCCAGTTTAGCTCCTGCAGACTCCAGAATAAACCAGCTTATGCTTTAATTCACAAGCATGGAAGGGTGGGGGCCTGCGTGAACCAAAACTGATTTTTCACCATTAAATTGAGTGCCATAAACATTGCTTGTTTGAATTAGCCAAACCTAAATGAATTGAGGACATTCTTATCTATTTTAATCCACAATTCTCCCTTCTCTATGATATGATATACTGAATAAATCAGAGCTGTTTGTGGAGTCCTGGGGCTTTCCCAGAACTTGGCACACTGATTTTCTCTTTATCTCGGTCATTAAAATTCAGCAAACCAGCCTGCAGAGAAGCCTGGCTTCTCTCTAGAGGTCGTTAATGAGTTAATTAGTGCAATAAACTTTGCCTAAAAAATATACATTGCAACTTTTCTAATAAATAGGGCAACATACAGCAGAGCTGGCATAGAATGCTTCCACTCCTTCCTAGATAGCCCATCTTTCCCATAGTCTTATTTATCACCTTTATGTTAGGAATTTTCTCCAGTGTTCTTTTTCACACATGAACATTTTGGGGCACTGCAGCTCTTCTGGAAAGGGGATTCTTGAATTCTTCCAGCTGGGCTCAAGAGCGTAGAGGTGAAAACCCCAATTAACAGGCACTAGGCCCACAACGTTTTGCTAAACAGAGAACCATCAATTGTAAACTCTTTGCTCAGTGTTTCACAGTCTTTTACGGTTTACTTTCAATCTTTCTTTCAAAGAAAGAATGTATATATAAAACAAAACAAAACAAAACAAAAAACACTGAGCTGAATGTTTACTGTCATTTTATTCTATTTTATTTATAGTTTTTTTTAGAGTTATAGTTGGGAGACACACAAACTAAAATAACTGTATTAGTGCTTGAAAATTGTTACTTAAGTAGGACTTTAAAAACACAATGATTGTAAAAACTTAAAGTAGTTTTATCAGCAGGAATGGCCTGTAGATAGAAATGAGACAGAAAAATAATGAATTCTAGATTGTGGAAATGTGTGTCTCGCCTCTTACGTTTGGATCTCTGCATGGTTAATAGGTCACAAATTAAAGACATTTAGATCATAGAAAGTTTCTTACAGTTTCCAACAGGCTCTGCCTTAATCATATTACCTTGGTCTAACCTTTCCTAATTGGGTATAAAGTCAGGGCCAGGATTTGGACAACTGAAAGCTAGTTTGAGAGGATTTAGTCTGAGAAGAAAGTGAGTACCTGCAACCCTATCTCGAAGTCTTTCTTTAAGAATAAGGCAAGCAGGGAAGAGTCTATGTATAAATTGACTGTGATAGTCACGTTACTGGCCATTAGACATGTCACTGCCAGGGCTGCCACTAGCCCAAATGGTGCCCACCTCTGGGCTGATCTAGAACTACACCAAAGGCATGTTTTTTCAAGTGGAGCAAGGGGCAGATTTTAGCTAGATGACCCCCTGCACCTCCAATGCCAGGCTAACTGATATTACTTTAACCCATACTACCCACACGTACCACTCTTTTTTATGATGATGAGGATTTATTTATGGCACAATCAGGTTAATGGCAGACAGTGGCCCAGCTGTTGGCTTCTATTTGGCAGTGGGGGTTTATGATACACTTGAGTTAAAATTTCTCTGTCTGTTAAAGATGGTCATTTTCAGAATCCCATTACAGTTCTTGGACCAGACTGCTGCAATGACACCTAGTGCACCATAGTAACATTTTTCATTTCCGCTGTTAGATGTTCTCACTTAGATATGAACATCTCTAGGGTAAGCTTCATGTGTTTTCTTTCCTTGTCCTTTGTAGTGTGTAACATAATGGCTGGTACATAATACATGGGATACATGTTTGTTTAATCAGCCAAAATATGAATGTTATGGTTGATATTGCTACACTGCTACACTTTTTTATCTGTAAAGTGTGATAACTGTACCTGCCTTACCTTTGTTGGAAAGATTGAGAAGATTCACGTAAAACCTATATTGTTGTGCCTATAAGTGCTTAGTGTATTTTAAAAATTATTATATTCATTGTTACACAGAATATACCATTCTAAAATATAATTCTGAATAGAACTGAGTGAATTTTATTAATTCATTATGGATTTTTGATTTGCGGCCAACTTTCAAATGGAAGAGCAAATCATATCTGCTGATTCATCAAATCTCCTTATTCTAGCTCCTTTTTATTTATTGAATCTGACAACCCCTCTATTTTTTCACCAACACCTTCTTCCTCATTAGCTTTTCTTATTGGTAACTTCCCAGTTTCTCTTACTGCAAGTATAGCTTCCTAACTATGTCTTGCCTGTAGCTTAGCCCTGTTCAATCTATTTTCACAATGCACCCGGCATGATCTTTTTGAAAGGCAGAGATATCATGTCCCTTTCTTAAAACCTTTATTCAAAGGCTTCATTTTGTCTGTAAAAGAAAGGCAATGGAGCATAGCATGAAAACCATCTAGCATGAAAACCATCTAATGTTCTGGCCTCATCTTCCCTTCCTCAGGTTCACCATGTCTATCCCCCAACCCTCATTCCAATATCAATGCAATGTGGCATTCCAACAAGAGTACAACAAAGTTTATTGTTAAAGGACCATCTATTTGCTCTAGATCAGGCCTTTGTGCACAGTCTTGGTTCCTTTCCTCTTCAGTAGATGAATTTCTCCTCATGCTTAAGGACTCAACTTAATCATCACCTTTTTGGGGGAGTCTTATCTTTTTACCCCCTTCCCATTTTTTTTCTGAGATTTAGGGCATAACTCTCAGTGCTCCCCACCACAGCTCTCTGTATACACTGTCTAGTATTTATCTCTCTGATTGTGATTACATGCCTTATCCCCACCATCCCTCATTAACCTTACTGTACAACGCATCCCTTGGCAACAGGAGTGACAGTCATTCATCACTATAGCATCAGAACCTAGGATGGGGGATATATCGGGACAGGCTCTTAGTTCATGCTCACTCTAAAGAAGAAAGGGTAGAAAAGGAAGAAAAGGAAGGGAAGGGAAGGGAAGGGAGAAAGGGGAAGGGAGGAAGGAAATAAGGAAGGGAGAAGGAAAAAGGGAAGGAAAGAGGAAGGAAGGAAGGGAAGGAAGGAAAGGAAGGAAGGGCTTACTCCTATGGCTTAGGAGTGGGGAATTGGAAGAGCTAATCTACTGCAAAATGCTCATCTGACTTCAGTCTATGAACCTATCTTACAAGATTACTCCTCTCTAGAGAAGACTAAAGCCCTCAAGGTAGTAAAACAGTTGGCAGGCTGCCTCTGTTTCCTGAGAAAATGTCTGTACTGCATTTTTTGGATAATTTCATCTTAGCCTTTATCAGTTTACCCTACTTTGTTTACAATTCTGGTGTTATAAAAAATAGCATCAACAAGTTGCCTGATTTTTCTTTAGATTACTCTTTCTCTTTACAGATTTGTTTTGGTTACTGGTCATACAAATTACTCAGTCGCTCAGATTTCATAGCTGACTGACATTCATCCCAACTCTGCCACACAGGAGCAGTGTGACATTGGATAGGTTGCTTAACCTCTCTGATCTCTAGTTGCTTATCTGTGCAATAAACATAAATGTGTACCTTCATGGGATTGTTGTCAAAATTAAGTCAGATCGTTTTGGTTGTCTATTGCTGTAAAACAAACTACCCAAACCTTAGTGACTTAGAATGACCAACGATTATTTGTTGTGATTATGTAGATTAGCCAGAGGCTTCTTCTTAGCAGTAGGATGGCTGAGAGCTCCAGAATCACCTCATTCACATGGCTGGCAGTTGCTACTAATGATGGTCAGTCAGGGGCCTCCATTTTTCTCCACATGGTTGTCCTATGTGGTATTTTGATCTCCTCACAACATGGCACCTGGATTCTAAGAAGGAATGTTCTAAGAAGCAAAGACCAAGGCTGTAAACCTCTTAAGGCTCAGACATGAGAGTTGCTTAATACCATTTCTACTACATTCTATTGATCAAATTAGGCAATAATAGGATAGACCAGATTTAAGAATCGGGGAATAAATTCTGACTCTTGATGAATGACAAGGTCACATTACAAAGGGGTACATGGGTGAGGAGCACTATTGATGTGACCATTTTTGGAAACATGCTCTACCACCATGAAAATGTATTTAAAACTCTCGGGCAAGATGGCCCAATAAGAACAGCTCCAGTGTGCGGCTCCCAGCAAGATCAATGCAGAAAGTGGGTGATTTCTGCATTTCTAACTAAGGTACCTGATTCACCTCATTGGGATTAGTTAGTCAATGGGTGCAGCCCATGGAGGGTGAGCCAAAGCAGGGTGGGGTGTTGCCTCACCCGGGAAGTGCAAGGGGCGGGGAACTCCCTCCCCTAGCCAAGGGAAACCATGAGGTACTGTGCCATAAGGAGCAGTGCATTCTGGCCCAGTACTATGCTTTTCCCATGGTCTTCACAACTCACAGACCAGGAGATTCCCTTGGGTGCCTATACCACCAGGGCCCTGGGTTTCAAGCACAAAACTGGGCGGCAGTTTGGGCAGACAGGGAGATAACTGAAGGAGGT